GGCCGACGATTACAAGGACTTGGGAATCATGCGAAGAACTTCGTGTTTTTTTCAGGAGCCTAGACTTTGCGATCGCGCGGACCGGTCGATGCAGAGGAGCCGGAACCTTGCGATCGCGCGGACTGGTCGATGCAGAGGAGCCGGAACCTTGCGATCGCGCGGACCGATCGATGCAGAGGAACGGCGTCCGGCTCCAGGAAAATTTCACAGCCGAATGCGATAGTTGAAATTGCAATCCCCTTTGATGAATACAGACAGATTTGAGTCATTTCTAATGATTTAAAAATCATTTTTACAGGAAACGACACTTTAATGGTTGTCATTAGTGAAGTATTTTTGACATGCCTGTTCTCAATGAACTGATGTAGTAAAACATAGTTATTATTTCAAGGCAAATATTCTATTCGTGAACGTTAAAAAAAATTATATTTTATCGATACTAAAATGACACTACGTACATAACAGCCACCAAGATAGGACATAATTCAAATGCGACCCTGATAATGAATAGGCTTTAAAACTTTCCTATAATAACGACCTCATTCTTGACTCATTCATCACACGTAAAAATTTAAATAAATATTTTAATATAATATTTAATAACATCAATAGTATGGAATTGATCGGAAACATCAAATCCATTACCTCAATCAGGTTCATTGTACTTAATAAATACTCGAAAATAAAGTTCGTGTATGAAATTGGAATGAAATTGTTTGAGTACAATCGCAACTGAAAATTTCGCGTTGTCACCTAACAATATAAATATTGCACACAGTGAGCTGAACACACACGTACTTCTGATGCACCTCGTTCGAGGAAAAACGAGTCTTAATCTGACAAAATGATTGCAATGACTAAATTGAAAAATTCACATGATCGCTGAAAGTTGAATTTGCAAGTACAGTTTCAAAATCAAATCAATTTGAATTCCTTCGTTTTCTACACGATTCCGACGTTAGTAGGTGGCCCATGAATTCGATATATGCACGGGAAAGAGCTCTTACACGTGGTCAAATTTAGGCTTGAGCGGAAATCCCTTGTGGATGAGACGTAGCTCATCAAACCCTTTCTTGGTGACAGTAGAGGGACACTGAGCTGTCTATACGACGGAAGATAGCTACAATTATTCGTTGGTAAGATATCATTTGTTTGCATTTAGAAATTTTAAGGATCTATTTATAAGGAAGATATTTCGTCTCTCAAAATTTCTTTGTAAGCTCCAAATTTATGTGTTCAATGCGTTTTCGTAGCTAGTGTACCGCCTGTAGCTCCTATTGCATGTGAGGAGAGAAATCTAACGACATCTTTGAATTTGTAGAATTATACGGTTTTAGTGTTTATATGATGGTAATAACTTCAATTGTGTACGTACTTTCACACCAAATGTTTCATTCTTTCTGCACAAATTAGGATTTAACTTTGTTGACGGAAGCACAAAGGACTTTCATTAAACCAAAAACGAAACAAGTTTTTCATGAATTATCATTCATTGAGGTAAACAAAAAATTATGGCATAAAATGAAGTAGACGTTACATCAAATTCTGAATAATTCTGAAAATACACTGTCTTCAATGTGGAATAATTCAAAGGATTATAATTTATCCCCTATTTCCAAACGACAGGGTACACGAGTTGAATTCAGTCGTACAGAAGCTATTGATGGACTGAAGATTGTTTTAATGATGATCCTGGAAGTAAAAAGGGAGATCCAAGTTTCCCACTTGACTGTAACGATGCTGCCGCACGTCGGACAGGTGGATGTCGTTGCTGATGCCGGCGTAGCGTTTGTTGTACACGACGCTGCATGTACACTACGCGTTGTCGACTAACACCTACGTTAGCTGGGCCAACTACGATCGTAGTCAGCCTATGATTGAGTCTGATAGCGATTCCTAGTTATTGGTGAAGATGAAAATTAAAACATGGATGCAAATTTTCTATTCCAATATCGTTAAATTTAAAGCATATTTTTATTCAACATTATATATAACATTTCGCTTATGTTAACGAATCTGCTTGAATCTGGACTCGGTCGTGAAGATCAGCATACTGCCGTTCATGTCGGCTTCCTGTTATATGAATTTTTTTCAAATTTATTACTGTCTATTGGAGTCGACGATAAAAAATACCAGTCAGGCATAAAAAATCATTTGCAGTCAAATGAAATTTAAGACTTTGCAATACTTAGCGATTTTGAGTCAATTCTGCTTCAGGTCGATATCTAAGATATTAAACAAGGTACGGTTCTCAAAAACCGGAAAAAATTAAGTACTGTAATTCTCTTTCAAATTAAAATTATTCTCAATATTACATACGACTATTATCTTTTCAAAACCAATTACAACCAGTCTCGCATTGTTCCGCATATATTTAGAGCATAATTATCAATGTTACACATTTTTATAGCAAGTGGACGGATTGATGCAGTTGTTAAACAAATGAGATGTTAATTCATATCATTGCGTCATTCCAGCAATTACAGGCAGTCACTTGGGTCAAATACAATTAGTTATTCATCAATACAACGTTGCAATTTTCTCCCTGCCGCTGAATGTAACCTGCAGTTCGGGAGATCCTCTTAACAAGTCAGGATGGGTCTATTTCTTTCTTTACAACCTTGTTATTTGTTAACGTGAATTTTACCGATGGAAATACTTGCCTTTTGAAAGAGGTAGCCAGCTGATGTTAAATAAGTCGCAAATGAATTTTTACAGAGAACTTCCCCTTAAATACGTACAGACAAACAGTACGAATTCATCGATCGTTTGTCACCAATCTAATTCAAGTATAGTGGAGCTATCAGTAAAACACGTTATTTTTAATATTAATCTAGCTCTTTTGCGAATAAACTGGAAGGCATATGACCAAAAAGAAAAAAAATATAACTCAGTACTCACTGCAGTGAGTGACAGGGAGCGCATTTTATTGTCGACGAAAACGTGAAGTTACGGACAGACAGACAGGCGGACGTGACGAACACAATAGCGCATTTTTTTCATAAATGAGAAAATGCTCTAAAAACTGTCAGCACCTTTTTAACATGACATGCGAATTCCAATGCGCGATGGAATGCAATTTGGTTTATGAGGTTTCAATTCTCAAAGAGCCGGTGGAATTTATAGTCGATGACCGCAACACCTCTCTTTTTTCTGTTTTATTCTATTAATGCTATTATTTTTTATGTAAGACGGCAAAAGATATGTCTCTTATTGAAATACTTTTTGGCCCAAAAGTTGTCGACCGGGCTACCACTTCTGCCATTTATAGATTTCCCTCAAGCCATGGGGATTGAGAAATACTTCTCCGGCCATTCTCCTTGATAATTCGTTATAGTTTGAAGGTTCGTTTGACATTATTTCACACGTACGAGTATGTACGAAATAAAATTTAGTTCGTGGCTAAAAATTACAAGAGAGAACTGAAATAGCATTACAAATACGCCCCGGTAAACTGTTTGGGTTGTGACAATGGCTGTACGTTATCGACAATGTAGATACTAATACCTTCATTTTAATTATTAATTAAATATTAAAAAATGAATGAAAGAAAATGGTGATAATGAAACTACATTAGATTAATTCCGTAGAAATGATATTACTGTATAAAAATAAAAGCGACTGATACGGCTGCAATGCATCTTATTCATACTGACACACCAGTAGTTGTCGTGGGTACTTATTTTTCCTCTATATTGTACTATTATATTTAGTCTGTAGTATAATAGTAATAAGGTAAATAAAATTATAAAATGTTATTTTCAATATGTTTAATAGGATTTGTTATAATGTATTCCAGACGGCTGTGGTCTCATGAAAAAATAAACATACAGTAAATAATTTACTGTAGTATTTCATCGCATAACCAGTACTTTCATAAATTTTACATGAACAGCTGTCTATGTGGAACAGCTTTTTTGGTCACTGGCATTACGGCACTGGTTTATGATCATAAATTTATAAATAATGCATTGCAGGAGCATATGATCTAGAATACAGGTTGCCGAGTTACTTGAATACCGTATTATTCTTAATAGACTTAAATATCACTTATATGAATTCTTGAAAATTAAAATGTGAAGAATGCACTGATTATCATCAGTATAATTACCGAAATTTGATATTAACTTCATGTCATATTTACTAATCTTCTCTTCCCTTTATGGTACATTTTGTCTCCAGATGGCACACAACAATCAATTTTCCTGCCCTCTAAAAATATAGAAACCAATTATTTTCATTGAAAAAATACAAACGTTAAAAAGTTGCAAACTGATTTGAGTATTATGTTCTACTTTGATCCATCCATTAGAGAATCCTAGTAATTTAAACACGTAATTGAAAATTTCATAGTTGTGAATACCTCATAAATCGGCCATCATAAATAATAATTTCCCAATGATCAGCCTTAAACTAAAGCGCCAGTGGGGGCGTTTTTATCCCATAGTTTTTGGTACCGCGTTTATGATTAAAGTTGCATGCACTAATCGATGAAAGAGATTGAGCTTGAGAGCTACCCAATGACCTAGGCTTTTATGCGATGTAAACTACGTGGTCGTTCATACACTTCCTTTGTTCTTAGCTTTGGAAATTTGAAAGATTCCTTTGCTTCTAGTGTCTCAAATGCTAACTGTAAAAATAATCAACTAAGTTACTTACGATTTCTCTGTCATACTTAATACACAATTATCTACACACTATCTATACACAGAAGACCTGAGAATTTATTAAATTCTAATCTTGATTGAATTCTAATCTTCTAACTTCATAAAAGTCAATTTCAGCGCATTCGTGAAACTTCCTCGAATGCTATAAGTTCGAATAAGGTTTACGATTTCTCTGGAATGGCACATGAATAAATAAATGTTTTAGAAGCATCAGTGTTTATTCATGGGGACAAAAATTTCAGTGAATTATAATTCGCGGCGTGTAGTATTTCATAAAAAAAATTCCGTGATATCTATGTATGACGAAGAAGAAACATTTTCGTTATTTGGACCGCGAGACCGCATTTACGTCTCGATTATGAAAACTTTTACCTGAGTGATCTAATCAGTAATTTTATTAAAACTGTCTGCTGTGTTAAATTTTAGTCATCTTATCTGGAAATTTTTTTTAAGACCAGTTGTCTGCCAACGTGAAAGTTATATTTAATAAAAGACGGGGCACAATTCTGCGAAACAAACCTCACGAATGGAACCTGCAACTTCCAACGGCCAGCCGTCCACCTCGGCAACGGAACGTCGTGTTCGATTTTTTCAGGTGGCTGAAAATGCAACTGGTATTACTTTATGTACTTTGTCCTCTATTTTTCATCCTAATAAAGCCACTTATCAAAATAACTGACAAAATAAATGTAGGTACAGAAGTCTTTCTCACGTGCCACTGCTTGAATTTATTCTTGTTTTAATGCGAGCTTTCCACTAGCTGGACTGATAGTTGATAGCGACGTTAAAGCGTTTACTACAGAATGGTTGTGCTAAAATTTCTTTCGAAACCGAAAAGTTTATATCAACTTGGTCTGTTTGCATACATGAATCCAGATTTTCCTCACAATTTATCTACGACGGCGTAATAACATATTTTCTTGATTAATATAAGTACATATTAGGTAGCAAAGTGTGGAAATCCTTGATTTTTTCCCATGCTTAAGGGGCACGAACAAAACTATAATTAGTGTGTCGCATTTTGAGCACTTTGTTAGTAGTCTAGTTTTTGAAAGCGGATAGCCTTAATCGTAGAACAAAATTTAACTATATTTTGATTCATGATTCATTCACGATAATCAATATATAGCATTTAAGCCGACCGGATCTTAGAACTCAGATGTTCGGGAAATTGGAGACCGTGTGTACACTAGGGGATTGAATGTATTTATTGTAGACAAGTACTACAACACGTCTGTTTTAACTCGATGCAATGTGGCTATCATGCCTGAAAACTTCGGAAAGTTCTGTCGTTCAGTCTAATTTGCTTGAAACAAAGTTTTACACGGCATACCATGGAGTCTAGGTGATGAGGTGAAATTTTCAACCACGTTTCATTTTCACCAATCAGAGCGCAACTTACATGTGACCATAAGCAGTATACCCACTATTATTGAACATTGATTTTCGTCTTTTATTGAGACTTCTTGAACATGTTAGTTAATTGTTTATTTTACAGGATTATAGTGTGTCCCCCACTCCTCTCTTCAACCGTGCGCTAGTTAAACAGAACATGTTCATGTTCAGTCCAAACGCCTCAACCATCGATCGAATCACGGAATTACGCCAAGAAGTGTTCGAGAAAGTTGAAGAATATTTTAAAATGATGCCCATGGATGAAGTTCACTTGGTGACGAAAGAAATGTACTTTCAGTTCACTAAATATCACCGAATTCTATGTGAAGGCTTGAATTTCACCGAAGAAGATTTGACACGACTAACAGATAGCGAATTGGCGATCGCGCTCGATGGGATGAAGAAAATCGAGGATATTGAGAGATTCATCCAGTTTTGCCCTATTATGCAGGCACTGAGATTGAGGCTCCAAGAACAGTGCATTGACTACGTAGAAATAGTGAAGGAACTCGGCGAGGCCTACAAACGTGTGCTTCTCAAGCTGGAAATGCTTCAGAACTTCACCAGGAAACGAAGCTCTCAGCCCCATGTAATGCTTTAAGTACAGTTTAGTATAGCTATATAGCTTGTGTTGTGACAGGTTGTGATGAAGGGGACGCATACACAATTTTAGCTTGTGAGTCAAGAGGAAAAAATATCTTCAGGCCTAATGATTTTAATAGAAAATGATTTCTTTTCACTGATCGAAGTTCTAGTTTGACGTTCTTTTACCATTGCACGAAAGAACGTGATTTTACTCATCTTTTAACATTTAGCCAAAGACTGAGCCTTTGTATCGAACCTCGCATTATTTTTTGTGAGTGAAAAGCGTCTACCAGTGCAATTTTTGTCTTATTTTCTGAAATAATTTTTAATTAAAAGTCTCAGCATATTTCAAAATTTATATTGACGTAGCTGCAGCGTGTTGAACGTATAAAAACATAATGCCTTTTTACCTTGTATCAATTCACATTTATTACGTAATGATGATACTGCGATGATTCTTCTATTTATATAAGAGATATTACTGAGCTCAGAAAATAATTTTCTATCCGAAAGCGTGTGAAATCATAATGTGCCTTGCAAGGGTGAGTGAGATTAAAGTTAAAAATTTTAGACAATGCGTTTTAGAAAATTGATCCAGAGTTTTTGCCAATAAATGGGATATTTTATTCTCTGCTACTGACTTTCAATCATTAGCAAACCAATGGAAGAGTGCGCCAGCCGCTACAACTGACTAAACTAGCTAAATGTTTACACAAAAGAAAGGATAATTACACCGTTACAAAGTCTACATTAATTCCTTTGCGTGTCTTACAGCGCCAGTCCTAACGTATTCTGGGATCATCGACTAGCAACGTCTAAAAGTTCGGCAGGTATTCGTTAATCCGAAAAATAATGCTGATAGCTTTCTTGCATTAATAATTCTTCGTTCTAACATTTGTGCTTTGTCTAAAGATCTTATGCATACCACTAAATCAGAACGCTATAGAGAAAGTGAGTGTTTTACGGGAGAATTAAGATATAGGTGAACTTTTTCCTATAGCGAGGAACCACGACTTTAATAATATTTATTGTTAAAATTGCACGAAAATTTTATGCTCCACAAGATTTCTGTGCAACATATTTCGAATTAGAATCCATACACCTTTTAATCTCATTGCTGGAATTATTTATTTAGAGATTTTTGTTTGGGACTCGCATAAATTTTTCCAATCCATACAATGCTTCTTTACTGGCTGGATTTAAGCTTCGAGCTCATGTTGAAGTTTCGTACGTAAAAGTCATTGGCGCGTTATTCAAGGCGCAAGTTCGTACTGAGAATAAATTGCTTCCTTGTGCACACAAATAACTACAGTAAGAATGACGGGCACTAAGGTTCCAATGATGACTGCGCATGACTTGTACAGACAATCCACTCGCTTGTATAATGGAGGTAGATCAACGCTGCGATGTCCACCTACGGGAACGCTCTTGACTTGGTCTAATTCATTAGAACCACCCTGGGACTCTTTCGGCGAAACATTGATCGTTCCTAGAGCGGATGTTTCCACAGAAAATGTTTTTTTGAACTCATTTGATGACCGGTTTTTTGTAAAAGTAAATTCAAAATTTTCGGCGACGTTTACGATGTTTGCGCGAGCTACTGAATGTTTAGATTTTCTTCGAAGAAATGAAGGGAACGTTCGACGAAAACTCTCGATGTTACGTTTTTCGTGGCACATGCCACTATCGAGTATGTACTGAAGGAGGCAATGATGTACGTAGGCGAAGAATAGCGAAGCGATCGAAAAAATAATGAATATATCAAGAATTTTCAGAGAGCTTGACAATATAGAACTCGTAGATTTTTCCGAGTAAAGTGAAGCAAAAACGATGAGGCACGAAAGCGTGACCATGATGCGGTCTCTGCAATACAGAAAACTGTGGTAAATATAACATCCTCAGACATTCCGAATGCTCGATGCTACAATGAAAAATGCTACAATTACACGGGAAAATTCAAGGTATAGACATTCGTGGCATATATTGTCTTACGTGGGACAGTCGACAGCACAAATATTTTCGAAAGCACAAAATATATTTAAGTAATTTTAAAAATATAAAAATTCAAGAACAAATTAAAAAATGACAAACTGAGAGACCACTCCAACAAGTTTTAGTTATTAGTAACAAGTCGATAGATTGACAAATTTTGTCGGAAATGATCATGTGGCCCAGTGGTTACAGTTCAGAGTACCAGGATTGCCGCAGAGAGGCGCGAGTTCGATCCCAGCTCTGTGCGCCAGTTTCTGGTCAGAATCGGCAAGGAGGCCGGGCGGTTTAGCACAGCAGAATTGTAGCAGTGAGTTGGAGTTCGAGACCGCAAAATGTTGTGAATGTTCTGTGATGTTAAGAATCGGCGACAGGCCTACGGTCTAATAAACGCTGAAACCGCTATTATTATTATTAATATTATTATGTTACACGTACGAGAAATTGTAAGGATTGAAGAAGAGGGTACAGCCTCCGATCATGGAGATGGCAATGCCAGGCAACCCGGTGGTCAGCAGCACGCCCAGGTACTCTGTTTCCAGCAGCACCTGAGACGAAAATAAATAATGGTAAGAGGGCTTTGTTAGTTTTTTATGCTTCAAACTCATCGTTATTTAAAACAAAATTTTCTCGTCATGAAATTCCAAACCTTTGGAATAAAATATGCGGACAGTAAGAGCATTCAAACTTGAGGAAGTACTTTAAGAAATCGGATCTAGTAAGAAAGTGTAACCTTGACTTTCATTCAGATAATTTAGAAGCCAACTGAAGCGCATCATTCATGAACGATTAGGGTTAACATCGATAAATAGCATGTACTATAACTCATGTACCATCATAGCTTTGCAAATTTGTCGGTAAACTGTGGAAAGCGTGGGAAAAAGACGACTATATACTACGAAATAAATGACAATTCTCAAAATTTCGTAGTCCTGTAGTGATACATTTTCGGAGACTAGCCGAGTATCAACATGAAATTATAACGAGTAGAATAATTATTGCATATAAGACTGATGGTTAGATCCAGAACTAAAATAAAATTGAAACCCGAACAAGAAAACAGCCGCAATTTATGTGTAGAGAATTTACTGATTAGATAATTGCTCGACCATTCAAGCTTTTCGGACATTCCCTGCAAATAATGAAGTTAGACTTGCATTGATTTTATCTGTGGCAATTACCGATATAATATCATAACATTTCCGTCATTGGAACCGACAATTGCGAATGAAAATAAATTCGTTAATTGATTAGCGCTTGTGGTAAATGTAAGTTATCATGTTAGTGGAAGCATCGCATTCTCCATGTTTTCGTAGTTGGCAAGTGCATTGAATGAGCTAGCAGCCATTCAATAATTTTTACGAAGAGTTTAACGATATGATTGTACATATATAAAAAGAGTAAAGCAGGATCCGTTCGCGCAAAGTTGTTCAAGTGTCCAAAAATTATTATTATTATTAGCAAAATCGTTCACATCAACTATCTACGAATGTAGTGCAGAAAAAATGAATTTCTTATGCAAATCCCCACTAATTTAAAGCGTAATTTCTTATCTAAACAGATCTAAAGTAAAGTGGATCACGCTCTCTTTTCCCTATAATTAAGCGTGCTCGAGTGCGGCCATTACCGTTAATTTGTATGTACGGAGATGCTGGCCTCCAGAACTGGGGAGATACGAGGCCTTCATCTTCATTATTCGGAAGGATCCTGGACCAGCGGGTGGGGACTCCAAGGATTCCGTTAGGTTAGAGGTCTTACCATAAAAATTTAGATATCAGCAGAAAATTATTAAAAGATGATTATATATACAATGGTCAATATATTAGTCGAAATTCCAAAAAATTAGTGTGCTAATTATATAGGAGATGTCAACAGATGAATATGAGATGCTTGTTAACATATGATCATGTAATTGGTTTTCCGTTCCCATTAGAAGTTACCCACGCTATACCACCATCGTTCACTCACGCTGCCACTGAAGACTGGAGTTTCCGTCCCTGCATTGCGTATCATGAGCTTAAACTCGCAAATGTCCAATCCAAAAGGCAGGAACAGAGTGTCGAACTGACACACGAAGTCAGCTTCAAATTCCTCTTGGAGGAGCATTTCTCCGGAATAAAGTAAAGCTGTTGGCCAACAAATAATATTAAATCATTACAGATTTGGACGATAAGAATAATTTATCGGTTTGATAATTTAATCCTGCAAATGTATTCTCCTAAAAAATGCGTTAGCTAAAAGCCCTACACATATGATTACCTAGTAAAAAATTTTTAACTTTTTACAACACTTCTCTTTAACTTCATTTCTTGTTTGTTTGTATGTCTGTCTGTCTGCTACAAATCTTGTAATCGAAATTTAACACACTTCTACTTATCCTATCGATCTGAAATTTTGCACACTTGTATAAAGTTGGAGACAATGCATGAATCAAATGTCAAAACAAATGATTTTGAAAATTAAAACTTTTTTCAATATTAAAAAAATTGAAAAAATAAATTTGTCAGCTACAAATCTTATAACTGATATTTGACACACTTTTACCTGTCTAGTTGATCTGAAATTTTGCACACTTGTGTGAAGTCAGAGGCAATACATGAATCAATTAATAGAATAAATAATTTTTGAAAAAAATTTTATATATTAAAAAAATTATATATGAAAAAAATTTGAAAATTAATTTTTTTAATATTTGAAAATTAAATGAGAAATTCATTGTACATCTGTAAGATTGGAGACACTGGATTCTTTGGAAGTGTTGTCTTTAAAAAGTAATTTTTAAGTTTATATTATTTATTTTTTGTTTGTCTGACTGCTACAAATCTTATAATCGATATTTAACACACTTCTACCTCTCCGATCGATCTGAAATATTTGCACACTTGCGCGAAGTTGGAGACAATGCATGAATCAATTGACAGAATATTTAATTTTAAAATTTCAAAAAAATTTAAATTTTAAAAATAAAATGTAAAATTTAAAAAATTTTAAATTTTAAAAATAAAATGTAAAAATGAAAAAAATAACATTTAAAAATTATTTCTTTTAATATTTGAAAACAAAATTAGAAATTCATTGTACATGTGTAACATTGGGGAGACTGAATTCTTTAGAAGTGTTGTCTTTAAAAAATAATTTTGAAGCGCATGTTATTATGTTGAAATGTGTTTCTCACAACTGGCGGCACAGCATATCATCGCCTGCAAAATTTCAGTATACGTACTAGTACAAAAGACTCATTCTTCAGTACTAAAAAAATTCACATTTTTCTTAGTACTGAAGGGTGAGTTTTTTGTCTAGATGTGAAAAAGGTGAGTAAGCTATCACACGTTTAAAATTTGAATGAATGAATTTTAAAAAACAAGCAGTCAAAATTAAACTTGTAGATATTAAGATCTATCACTGCCTGCTTCGAGTATCTACGATACCATTTCTTCTGTATCATTTAATTGACGGGCAGGGAAGTTTTTAGCGTATTTTCTCATTTATGGAAAAAAAGGCGCTATTGTGTTCGTCATGTCCGTCCGTCTGTCTGTCTGGTCGTGACTTCACGGACGGACGGACGAGAAAATGCGCTCTCTGTCACTCACTGCAGTGAATACTGAGTTATATTTTTTTAACTTACTCTCATAGCTGGCAACGAGTGACGTGTTGGGTTGCCCGTCATTTACTGCAAAGAGATTCTTGTGGCTGATAGTTCCTTCGCTGTAGGCTTTCGCATGAGCTAACTTGGCTCCGACGAGTTCATAAACGGGCTGCCAGTAAACACCGTCCTCTTCTGTTAGTTCGTTATCGCTGTAGTCTGGTCGTAGCATTCGAAATACGAATCGGTCGTCTCTCCACCGAGTGAAAATCTGTGTAATTGCAACACGTCACCATATTTCGATTAAATCTGGACATTATTGTTAGGAAAAACTTTTACAATCATTTCAGTCGCCGCAGACGGATGTAAATTTCGTGAGAGGCAATAGCTAGTGCGGCCAAAATCAATCAAATTCAACTTTCCCAACACGATTCCCAGCAGAGTAATTCCCCATCTCAGAGACATAAATTTCCGACTTCAATATGATTTCAGTATTCCCTTACAAAAAGCATTTAATGTTTACAATATTAATATCCTCTCTCCAACAATAGTGATATGCTCCTCGAAACAACCAAAACTAATAGCTACAGACTAACAAAATTAGGCTGCAAAGAATGCAACCATTAAATTTAATTCTCACGCTCATGGAAACGGTGACGACCATTGCAGCCTCATCAATGCTGACGATGTTGAAGCGTTTAACATGAAGCGACAGTTCTGTCTGGCGCCGGGGCGGTCGAGAAGAGTTGTTGGGGTGTCCGCCCCTGAAGGTCCTCGATATGGCGCAGCGGACCAACGACTCATCGCTGCCATCCGCGCAGTCGCTGCGGTCGTCACAAGCTTGCAATAACTTGACACATTGTCCATCATCGCATGTAAATTCTTCCTGAAAGTTTAGAGCAAATAGACTGACTGAAATAAAATCTTTATACTTAATTTAGAATTGTCATGTACCAGGTTCCTGAAAGTAAAGTAAACTCTCTGAGATTAAGCTTTTCCTGAAAGTAAAGAATTTTTGGAACTCAAACGATTTATCTTGCGATTTATTCCGATCGATAATACTTTATTGAGACTTTGGTATTGGGACCAGGAATCTAAGGAATCTTCGATGGTAATTTACTGTCATCAATTTGAACATTTCTGGACGTACACAGGAGCCCGATACCGTTATCTCTCGTCAACTAGTCAGGCAAACAGCAAGTGAATAAGCAAATGTAATTAATAGAATCTGGTGTAGAAAAAACTCGTGGAAACAAGCGAAAATTTTACATGAGGAGTGATTAATCAATATGCATAGATTTATTGACAGGCAATTACTTTTTGGAAATGGCATTTAGCCTTTAAAATTTAAAGCCAGTAATATTTGTTGAGACATAATAACGCATCCCGTCATCAAATTAAAATTAATTTATTTACAAAAGACAAGCACTCTTTAATTCATTGACATTGTGGGGTGAATACAAAAAACTGACTCATAGAATTCAATGCACGAAACAACTCAACATACTTTGGCAACACGAAGCCTAGAGCACTGTACCTTTTGGCATGTAGTCAACAGTAACGAGGATGAACTGTCGTTTATGTTCTGACTAAAGAATCTTCCGGGCAAGAGGAGCTCGTCGGATGTTTCTTGTCTCAAGTACTTTTCATTTCGGGAATTCCAAAGCTCCCTGCCATTCATGAAGGAACAATCGCTCGTGGACGTGCATTGAGTAACTCCTTCTGGAGACCAGTCCATGAACACAGTCTTTGACTCCGTCGGGGTTTTCAGGACCAGGGAAGTGTTCGATGAGAACTGAAAAAAACTCACTTCATTTTAATTTTCAACATAGACACAAGCATCGACAAGTATTAGAAATAATGTTACATGTATTGAAATAAATTTCATCAGTAATTTTTTTTAGCGATAAAATAAACTTGTTCTTGAGACATGAGATTATGCGAAGATAGTAGAAATTTTTATAAATGAAAAGATCGAAAAATATCGCGCAAAAATAGTTGCATGAATATATTACGTAGTATAAATTAAATATTCCATGCTTAGATATCCGGGCTTAAATTATAATTTTACCGGTTTGTTCGATGAAGTTTTTGTTGTTTTAATGCTCTCACCGTTTTAAAGCAGCAAGTGAATAGATTGTCACATGTCATATTAAACAAAGGCTGAGATGAAAGCTTACTTCAAGTTGCTGTACGTTCGTGATACTATAACATTTATAAATCTACCGAAATTACAACTCACCGAGCACACGAGGAAGGGCACAGACTTCTTGATGCACTCTGTAGTTACTGCCAGGGTTCCCATTGTTACGTTGAAGCTCTGCTTAATGCATGAATGATTCTGCCCCCAAAACTCCAATGCGGGGACCTCAGTCTGTTGAAATCAACCATAATTCAAAATAAGAACATTTTATTTTACTATAATTACTGGAATGTAATTATAGAAACAATAACGCTTTCGATCGAATTCATGCCAATTCTGTGAACAAATCATCGATGACTTCACCGTGAAAATATTTGAAGATGCGAGATCGAAGAGTTGGACTGCAGCTGGTGATGGGAGTTCGCTGCCGATGGCGGAGCAGAGTTGAAGAGCTTGGGTGTAGCGGGTAACTCTCCCTCGTACCAAGAACTTCGTCTCGGGTTTTGGAGGGCACAAGAAATATGGAGCTGCAGGCTTATCATGAGCTGATCTGTCAACGCGTTTAGGTACATAAAAATGTATTGATAATTTGGTAAAGTCGGAGTCCTACTACCGCTTCAATGCTGCCAAGCCACGATTGGCACGTAAGCGACGCTAAAAATGTTCAATAATCTCGAAAATTGTGCAGAGTTTTAATTTAAAATCTAACTATTTAGATTATTTTGATGTTAAATTATTAAAATTACCGTTTAGATAACAGTAAATTTTAAGCACATAACACAGACTAAATTCATACGTATTGGTAAATGAACTATACATGATATTCGTGTACTGTAAACGTCATCTTTCAAAGTTTAAACGACCGCAGCTGTCGGCTGAACAATTTCTAGGGGGTGCTCCTGTAACAAGGCTTATTAAGTCAAGCAAGTGGCACGCCGCAAAAGAATAACGAGCACACTCAGTGGAAAGACGTGTCAATAATAAAATCGCCGCGTCAGCAAAAACGAGACGAGAGAATGGGAGCAACGCACGTGCAAGGCAACAGAGCAAACAACAAGCAATCGAGGAGCTCTTAGGCACCACACAACCTGCTCCCGTGGATGCTCAGATAACACTCAGACTTAATTGCTCTTTAAATCAGGGTTGCTAGATGGTCTTTTTTTAGCTTTATGATGATCTTTTTTAGTTTATGATGATCTTTTTAGTTCATAGTGATCTTTTTTTAGTTTTATTTAATTGCTTTGGTCGGCAAAAATTTATGATGGTGGTACCTTCTTATTAAATTTAAGAAAATTACGAAAAAAGTAAAATGTTATTTATACACCGGAACCTGCAAATATGCTGGTGTATATTGAGTTAAAGGCCCGTTATGGTTTTTTTTCCGTTAACATGGCCGTTTTTTGGCCATCTGGCAACCCTGCTCTTGAGTTATCATAGGGAAATAAGCCTTGACCGTTAAAACCCTGATCTGCTGCAAATTGAGCATCAAGCATTATACAGCACCTAGGAATTTTTTATTTAATAACAGACAACAGTTTTCAAGGTTATCGTTGAATTAATTAATAATCACCCTAGCCTGATGATGGAATCAATTCCACATAACCTACATAATCCCTAAATTGCGAGGTCTGGACTTTGTGTTTAGCATTACCCTGGAGCTGCAGGGACACGCAGGGCTTCATGCAAGAAGCTTCCGTCACTCACGACCCAAAAGTCGAGCTTCACGGCATCTGCAGTGCCGGCCGTGCACCACACCATGTCGCGCACCTGCATTATATGGTCACAATATTTACGCACATTATCATGTACTAACTTACTTTCACAGCAATAGCACCGCTTGAATGCTAAATTAGGGAATTGCTTTCAATTCTTTAGTTTCATTGATTGGACGCGTTCTACGAGTGCTGGAGAAGAAAAGTTAAGTTCCAACCATTTAAATTCCACGGTGAAAAAACGTTAAGGTATGTGACTTCTTAATAAGGGTTGTAAAATTGTTTTTTACGAATAAAATGAAGACAGGCATAAATTTTCCAAGGCGTATTGTTCCCTAGTCATCTCTATTACTATGTACGATATATTAATATAGTTAAGATAACCGAATGGAATAATTTAGATAACTAAATGTTATAGTTCTGCGTTATACAACTCATGCAGAATCTATACCTCGTCCGGCGCAAGCGCCTTGAGGTACAGCGTTGGTAAGGTAAAGTGAAGAGCAACTACGGCGTCTGTATCGCCAACCCGAAGCACAGCGCCATCTGCTAAACTGGCTGCTGCTTTCTGCACAGCTCAGGCCGAACGGAGGGATAAAAATATATATTTTTTAATTTGATTCACGATAAATTTTGTGTTCCAGTCATGACACTCAAAAATATGAAATTATTTGTGCCAAGGAATTGTTTATTTCTTATCGGGGATCGTATTATTGATCAATTGCAAAACATAAAGATCAGGAAGAAACAAACTCATATATATTTGCAGTTCTTAACTATTGGATCTTTGAGTTAAAAATTCATGGAAGAAAGAAAAATACTAAACTTTTCATCCGCATACTGTAAAATTCGAGAAATGAGAATAAAATTTGCCCTGTTTATCAACAAATCACTCATATGTCAGGCCCACCTTATTTACTTGCTTCACTTCTTTGCTATCCACTTCTTCGAGTTCATGAAAATCTGCATTGAGAATCATTCGAGGATTTTGTGAAATTTCCAAACAAAGGTGATACCAAACTCTCGGCAGCATCGTTCCATGAATAGACTGGGCCACACTTGTCGATGAGACTAGCCACACTTTTCCACTTGGAGCTGAAATTCATTATTGAAATTAATTCTTACATCTTCCAGCAAGGTAATTTTGAAATTTAGCTTCGTTCATTTATCGAATTTTTTTTCATGTCCTATTAATGGCTATCTGAATAAAGAGGTGATGAAAATTTAATTTCGTCGAAGGGTCTCCGATTTCAACTACGTAAATTCAGTTATCGTCTCTCAAGTCACCTCAATAAGGGCACTTCAACGGTCAATCTAATTCTACTTTTTTTTAATTTCTATACCACCCACTTACACAGTTTAAGAGCCAACGCCTGTTCCCGGAACGAAATATTTAGGACGGTCGCTCCGTTTATGTTTTCTTCGGCGTAGTAGAAACTGGCGAAGAAGCAAACGGTCAAGGCAGAAATATTCCGCGGGACGTCAACTGATGCCTGGAAACTCTTCGAATGCTCCAAACGCTGCGTTGAATTCGTCGTGGCAAACACCAGCCAATCTTGAAAACGAAACACCAGGTAGGTAAAAAATACATGAACATAAACTCACCGTGTTACACGTGGACTTCTGCTGGTCTCTTTCGTTTTTTTTTCAAAATCCTGTTTTCGATCCTGTTTGCTCCTCCAAAATTTAGTCATCACTGTGTGAAACTAAATTTTTTGAATTAGTCTCAGTGCGTGAGACTAAATTCCTGAATTAGTGTCAGTGTTTGAGACTAAATTTTTGAACTAGTCTCAGTGTGTGAGATTAAATTTAAAATAGTGTAAGATGCAGCGTAACATTAGTATGATATTCACCGTTGTTCGTGATGATCTCGGGTTGGCTCACTGTTGCTGTGACGCCGTAAGTCAAAATGTGGTGTAGGAGCGCAATCGTCCCCGAAAAAATGAAATGAAAATCAAATTTCAACATTGCGAAAATTAATTTCAGCACTATTTCGTCATAATTAGAAAAAATTCGTGACCCCCGAATAAGACGACATTTAATTGAGACTTTGCCGTAAGTAAAATAAATGCCTATATTTGGTCCAGTGTTGAAGAGAGTTAAACACGTTTATGTTCCGAAGCCTAAACCGCAAGTGGCGCATCGTGTAGCATCAGCGCAAATGAACACCAATAGCTATAAAAATCCTACAGTAAACATAAAGACCGATATGACGATCACAAAGATCATAGAAAACTTTACATCAGTTTACCAAGACAATCGTGCCAGCGCTAGTACGCAGAAAATGAGTTTGGAATTTGATGAATATCAAATACAGCTGCATCCGTCCTCAGCTTGACACTTTGTATCAATTTATTGACTGGACAATGGGATCGTAATTTTTCGATGTCACTCATGTTGACTCCAGCGATTCAGTGCTTAGCTCCATATTACAGCATTAGAAATTTATTAAAAATAGCGCGTAAATTGTATCATTTGAATGTTGGCTGCACCAATATCAGCCTGCCAGGCGTCATCAGAACCACGTTCATCGGATAGTTTTACTGCAAAACATTAGGGGCAACTATACTTTAGATCAAATGTGTTATCGAATTCAATTGGGGAGGGTTTAAACATTTGTCAAATGTCATTCTAACATAACCTAACCCCTCGTCATCTGATAACGAAAATAGTTCCTAAATTAAGTAAAAATTTGCTATTTGAGAGATTCTATTCGTATGTACTTTGACTGTCATTGGTCCACACGAAACCCTCGTGTTTGTAGGAAGTTAATCCCGACACGCCCTATTCTTCGAAATTATCATGAAATATGCGACGACGAAGCTGCTTCATAAAAGTAATATAAGCAAATTTGATTACGATTCAGATTAGAAAAGTTCAACATTGAGACGAAAGAAAGCGAATTGAATGTTCCCGGTCGGCGCTGCCATTACATTTCTCAGTCAACTCGGTTCATGAATAATGAATACGAAGATCGTCCGACTGACACTTCTTGTTGACTCGCCTGCAACGAGCACGAATAAGTCATCATGAATACATAAAAATTAATCGGTGGTCAATAGCTCCTTGGCCTTCACTTCTTTGTGATCACACGGATATCGACCACCTGGCATGACCATAATCAATCAACCGGACAATCGTACAAATAACAGAACTGAGTCCTGATACCAGTATAATTCCAAGCAATTTCGTTTATTAAGATAGGTTAATAATTTTTAGCTTAAGTTATTTCCATAGACGTGTGTCACATATTCGTTTCTATGTTATTCATCTTTGCGAGCACAAAAATCAGTAATTGTTTTTTTTTTATCAGACAATGATTGAATTAGCAAGGAAGAATAAAACAAGGATAAAGTCATACATTTAATGTCTAAAAATGTCTTAGATTAACTATAAAAATAAACGGCTTCGGGGGTTCCTTAACGTGAAGTGTGCGTTGAGCGGTCATTTAGCCTATGCTAGAGCCCTGCCGTTTTAGCCAACGCATGAGCTATGTCATTTTAGCCTATAGCATTGGCCTTGTCATTTTAGCCTATAGCATTGGCCTTGTCATTTTAGCCAATGCATGAGCCATTATCACTTTAGCCTAAGCATGAACCATGTCATTTTAGCCTAGCATGAGCCATATGACTTTAGCCTACATACGAGCCATGTCATTAATTTTAACCTACATACAAAGATCGATATTTTTAGCATACCGGGATAGAACACAGAAGATATGTAGATGGGTTGAACGAAATCATGACGGCTTCAAGACCAAGAATTTCCTTAAGTAATAATAAAATATTTTCATATTATACTGATACGAATCGCAATCCGCTAAAATCAATCATGAACGATACCAACCAAATCCTCTCAGATTAATGCGGTAAAATGCCAATGAACTAATCACATTTTATTAATGCTGAGGGAAAGATGTCAACGCGAGTAAGTAGAGTGAAAGCCTCCTTTACTGAGCAAGTTGGTTCAGAGCTGCACAATTTTTCCAGAGTTCAACGCGTCCATTCACACTGAAAATCATTCACTTTGCACCACAAGATTACCGAGCAGGTTACTTTGGTATTCGTTCCAACAAATACAGCAAACACAATCATTTCAGACAACCAGTTTAACACGTTGGCCGCGATGTGCGCCATATATGTACACGCTGTACTTCTCAGAATCGCGATGTGTACACATGTGGTACATTCATATGAAAAATACATATTTTTATAAAATCTTATTACTCTTTCAAATTTAAAATTTCAATGATGCAATTAAATAGGCATGTCAGGGAATGCTTTGAAGTCAACTACTGCTTTGAGAAATAGTTTTATTATCAAATGCAAGTAATACAAAAATTACGAAATTTGTGGCCATTGATGAAAGCAATATATATATCTATCTTTGTATGAAAAGAAAATAAAATATTTTCTTAGTGATCTGAAACTACAAAATTGGGTGTTGCCAACATCATTATATTTCATACCTGATTGAAAAACAATTATCGCACATGTATGACTTTCCTTCAGTCACCAATGTATTTTTTTATCCTCCGAGTTTCACCTTTGCTACGGCACTTCCCTCATTTGCTGAGAGTATGTTGTAGCATTCATAGCAGCGCATCCTGGCTTTAGTTCTAGCTGGTTCAATGAAAGTTGGCTGTCCTCTGTCCCACTCGATAATTTGAGATATACATCCTGATTTTACTCTCTCTGAGATGCTGCTTGTAACAGAAGCTCAAGACAATATATACGATGAATGATCTCTATAAGGTAAATATAACTGAACTAACAATGTAAATACCCTCAATTTTATTCAGGATTATGAAAACCTGGACACCAATCTCTTTCCATAGTAATTTCCATGCATAATATACATCGTTCACAAAAAAGCTAAGAGATACCGGTAGTCATAATGTGTGCAATTATGACTCAAAACTAATGTAGATTTCTTGCGCGCATCACTCACAGTGATATAAGTGATAACTTTAGGCGTTTTTCCGTAATATGAGCCATAGATGCAAGTCTTCGCTTGGTACACATCGCCCGCAGTATTAAAAGTGATTACGATAGGCGGCGTGAGCCAATATGAGCCACAACAGGCATGGCTTCATTTGGTACACATCGCCAGGAATAATGACGAATTTCAACCCTGAGCGATGTGCACCAAATGCGGCCACGAATTTTACGTGATACAATGACAGAACATACCCTTGCAGAGCTGCACACAACTTTTCTCCTTGCTATCTGCCGGGTAACTGAAGATATACAAGTTTGAACCTATCGCCCGTACGGCATTCGGGCCAAATCAGCAATCGCGGCCAACGTGTTAACATATTGAGATTCACTTCTCGTACATCCTGTAAAACATTTTGAAACTTGCTATAAATGGAAGGAATATGAACGTTGAGGTTTCTAATGTCATACAGTTAAGAATTAGCTTTCCTCACTATAATTTTTATGCTCGTCCAAGTACATAACGTAAATTTCTATATAAATGTGGGAAAATATTGCACGTAATTCAAATCAGATGAAAAATTCTCGAGGCATCCTTACACGAAGAGAAGAACAAGCCAGGAATTAAGCTTGCGAACTGAGTTGAAGCACGAATAGGCACAATTTTTTGCGAAGCACAAAATTATTAAAGCTACCGTGAACTTCATCATTCGTTAATCTATATGTTTGACGGTAGAGTAAAAATGGAGATCGATGAGATAATATCATTCCGGTCTCTTTCCATCGTGACTTGTGCTTACCTTGATTAGTAGGAAGTCATTCATTTCTTACAACTGCTATCAAAAGTTTAAGGGTTTTACTAAGAACATGAAAAACGAGGCATCTACATCAAAATCACATTAGGTTCCTAATTAAACATTCACACGCGGCGGAACTTCCAGACCCGAGATCATCACATGTCAGTTACATTAATGTTCTACTTATTTCACCTGAGAGACAGCAGACGAGCGATTAATCTAACTCTTTCCCCTTAGTGAAGCGAGTATGTCTTATGAATACAATACTAAGTTCGAAGTTATATCTACAGGAATATTCTTGAAGTAATGAGAATACAATTGAGCATGAATGGGTGATTCAAGTTTAAACTGCATAAGTAAAAAGGCACTACGTTAAATCATTTCATTAGTTTCGATTGTCAAATGACACAACGTGAACAAAAATTTCCCTATGCGTTTGAAGCACACGTGTTTAATCTTGAATAAAGTTTCAGCACTCTACCACTTAGAAAGAAATGTCAATTGTTTAGGAACAATTGTTTAAAAATGGCCGTCGCGATTCCAAAAACAGAAAACGTGATGATAATGATAATATGTCAAAATTTCATAAGTTTTTTTTTAAATAATTAATTGGTAATTAGCAGGTAACATGAGCGGTTTGGAAGAATAGTCCAATTATATTTTACAAAATGCACACAAATCGTTGCTACTCAACATTTTTGATAATGACTTTCACATGAGGAAGGTTTGACCAGATCAATCATTCGGTTTGGCACAGAATTTCTATATCTACGTGGCTAAAGGTTGAAATACAAACTATACCTGGATTATCGCGTGGCAAAAGCTATAGCTATGATAGTTTTAAAATTAATCAGTAGGGTTATTAGGTGCCGTATAAAATAATATGAGCAGTGAGATCTTAGCGATAACTTAAATTACGCCAGCAGATGCAATTCAAGCAGATTTGCCTTACTTATCCATAGAAGTCGAATACGTCTTATTATTCATAAGGAAGCTCTTAAGTGCTAGTCAAGTCAAATAGCTGCTAATCATTCCGTTTTTTCGTCTTTTTACAACATTATTCCATAACTGAAAGGCGAAATGAAGAGCAAATACAAAGTTGTAACTCAGAGGGGCCACGAGGGTTAAAACTGAGAGGGGACAAGAGAGTTGAAAGTGACGGGGAAAAAAGAGAGTGAAACTAAGCTGGAGCTAGACGGTTGAAACATCATGACGAGTGATAAACGACAGAGGCAGTGCAGTACATAAATACATATTTTATCTAATGTAATCTAGACACTATTTAATCTAACATTCCTCACAATGAAAAAACTTCTCTACTCCACCAACACCATATTGAAGAGAGAATCATAATGAGACGAAACTGTAAAACTAAACACAAAGGCCAAAGAGTAAGAATTAGTCGTTTATCTCACGCTGCACTTCAAGTATCAGGTTCAATCAACTGTACTCTTATCGGTCTCAGGACCCATGAGGCGGCCAGTGGTCTTAAACGGTGATAACATCGATACGAAAATAATTCTTTTTACCTTTCCATACTCAAATATTTCATTTATTTCCACTTCCACCTTAACTGTGTAAAGTACTTTGCTGACCAGTACAGCTCTTGTGAATTACTCCCTTCAATGTTTGGCACTGGCAGATACGGTCGGAAAAAAACATTAATTCCTGATCGGATTACAACAAATTAAATACTTGCAACAATATCATATGGGTTACCACCACTTAACCCCCGACACATGAGTGTATTATCCATGCTGTGTATAGCCAGCCATGTGCACAATAAATTGTCGTGGTTACATCGATAAATTTATGGAACATTGAATTACAATGTAGCAGAAAGTAACTTGACAGTTAACCTGGATTTCGAATCACATGTATAAATATGAGATCATATTTGACAGCAAAGGTAAATATTTTCTATTTTATCTCTAGACTTATTTCCTACGGAAATTTGATCGCTTTAATGGTAAGGTTGCAAACAGTTTATAAATTCACAGCTACCATATTTCTTTCGTTCAAGACACAATTAATAAGAGTCAATGCACTCAAAGAGACAGTGATACACATGATAACTTCACCCTACTAAATACTTCAGAAGAATATAAACGTAAATAAAGCAATACTGCCTCAAAAGGGAAAAATCTGTTCAAAATTGTCACATAGCCATTAAATCAACTCAATGTTTTTATAATTTATTCAGTATCAGTTAACTAGAGGCATCCAACATTCGGTAGTCTAACGGTTTCTTCGTTACAGATTAGAGACGAATATTTATAATTATTTAGATTGAATATTAGAAATAATTTAATCGAGTAACTCAAATTATACAAAGACGAATGAACACCCAATGAAACAATCATATTCCCCCAACAAACTAGGTGTACCAGATAAACTGCTGTATGCCTAACTTTCCTGATTCAAAAATCAATGACGCCATTGATGTTCATTATTCGTTCAATATATTATCCCGGCGAGGTGCGGCTAAGCTCGCACATGGCAATCCAGCTTCATGGAAGCAATTCACAGGCCAAGACAAAAAAAAAGCTACAACGACAAATTTTGTACTCGTCACTTTAGTCTCTGATAGACAGAACTCAGGTACATGTGTCACAAGAGGTCAGGACTTAAAAAATAACTTAGATTATTACAAGTTTAAAATCACAACTCGTGTACGTTGATATCGATGTTGTACAAATCTAAAAGTATTATCTACCTTAATTAAGGAAATAGTACTGCCTTAATTATACATTTTAAATTAACTTTAACATTACTCGTATTGAAAGTACTTAAGTACGCGGAACTGTGGTCACTACTCCTTCTCACAATCGTATCACTCTTACACTCGTGCCTCATTTATATACAGATAAAAAAATACAATAGAATTTAGGCCTACATTCACATTTAGACCTACAATGATTTTTCAGTATTGGAGACAGACAACACAAAAGGCATGCAGCATGGCACGCGAAGTACCTACAGTAGGCACCTCGCATAATAATTCTTAAAATGCCATCTTGAGCATTGATATGGACAAAAGATTCTCCAGTAAGACACTTGCGAAAAACGTATTGTTGTCGCCACATATACATACCTACATCAATAGATAGAGAAAAATACAAAGAACTTTATGAGATAAAAATTAAAGCTCCAAAAATGTAAATTTTGCGTCCTTTCATGAATATCTAGCTTTGATTCAAACATCATTAGCACAAAATGAAATGAATACCGAATGATAATAAGGTCCGTCCAGATGTATTATCAAAATTGATGCCAATTCATGACCAGTGAAACTTGGTAGTTTTATTAAATGTATAAATATACCTATGTAGATTTGAGCGAATAAGATTAAAGACTTTGATTTGGGATAAGATTATAGTGACTTTAAAAGTTACAGTGAATAATGAAGCATAACCTAACTAGGTGCTATCATGACATTCAATGATGAATAACTTACGAGCGAAATCAATCTTTTCAAAACGCACTTCTCCACGTGAACGACATCGTTTGGCTACTAAGAACGCTACCTTATTTCGAGGTGAACACCAGCTGGTCTACTGAAAGAAGCGTCGGTACTATTCTATGAATCGAAATCTTTCTATGATATTGTTAGATGGCACAATGCTCAACAAGCAGTGCTTGTTTTGGCACGCATATCAGTTATATTCGTATTAACTTCTGCATAGGATTCGACAAATGCGGTTAAAATCAACTCGCCACGGAATGATTTCGGTGACAAGGTCACCAATACAATTAATTCGGAAATTACGAGCGAAATAACCTTTTAAACTAGATTAAACTTTTCTTTCTTGTACTAGCACAGCTAAACTTCAATACATTTCAGTACCTTCCTAAATTATACTCTCATACTTCGACTGACGACAGTTTACGGGTTGTCGGTTCATACATCCCCGCCTTTAGACAATTCACTCATACTTCGATGGACGATAATTTTCGGACGACCAACCAGTCACAACTGAAGCAAAGGATGTGCATCATGTGAGCAGCCGTGTCTACCACAATGCCTTTGGGCGTGATAGATTTAGAACAACCAGGGCACGATAATATATTCAATTTGCAGTCGTAGAAAACGTTGCTCAGAGATACGCAACATTCAATGACAGTCTCATTGTATAAGCTTTCTCCAGTATTCCCAGGACACGTAGAAACTAGTTCTTTTTCGTCAGTTAAGTCGGGAGCCACCAAGTTAGGGGACGAACTAACATCACAACTTGTTGGAAGAGATAAAACCGTCAAGGAAGTTGAAGGATTAACGTGGAGTGTAGAATCCTCGTGTGACGCGGTAACTTTGGGATCTTGGTTGCTACCACATTTTTCGTGTTCTATCACGTTGACAAGTTTCGTAGATTGTTCTTCAACTATCAGACTGGACGTTTTACTGCCAGCCTCATTCGCTTCATCTCCATCTATAGTTAGAGAAGCTGAAATTTTCGCAGTAGGAGAAATCGTATTCGTTCCATCGTTTCCGGTTTTGTCGCTGGGACATTTTAAAGACAGAGTAAGTGATTCTCTCAATTTCTTCCTTTTACTGTCTATTTTGTCCGGGGAAACGGAGGCTTCTCTTTTATAGGAGGCAGTGACGTTCGTACGCAAGTGAAGAAGATCGAGATTTCGAGATCGTGGTCGCCTCCTGCATCGTTCAACTACAGGTTCAACTTCTTGACAGGCCTCGACAATAACTTCCGCTGCATCGACCGCTCGGGTTTCAAAAATTTTGCTTGAAGATTTAGTCTCCAGCTTCGACAGCGCCAACATACTTTTTTCTTGAGACACTAAGGCTGCTCTTCTCTTAGGCCGACAAGAACCATCAGTGCCTGGTTTTTTCTCTTTCTCTTGTTCACATTTGACAGATAATAAATTTGAAGACTCGAACTCTTTTGTTATTCTACCATCCGAACATTCCATCGAAGCTCGCACAGATTCTTTTACTTTGCTGGTTTCTACATGAACTTGGCAATTAGAGGCTTCTTGGTAGGGTGAATTAGAAGGGCTAGATGAATTTAGCAACTCCTCGACGATGTCATGCGGGTGTTTTACATCCATTTTCGTACCAACTCCAGGGACTGACGTTGTAAGTAAATCAACAGACTCCGGTGAAATGTCTTCCAACTGACCAGATTTTTTCTCACCGTCAAGGAGACTGGAGGGAAGTATGACCGACAAAGGTGATTTAGAAACGGGCGGCTCGTTGTCCGGACTTTCTAGCTTATCAAGAGGAGTTTCTACCATCTTAGTTTCTTCACTACTTTTAGTGCGCGGCTCCAATTGTTCCTCTTCTACCACTTCAGGTATTTTCTGTACACCGAAATCTAAGCGCTTTTTCTTAGTGCGAAAACAACTGTAGCCTTCGCTATCCTGAAGCTTCTTGAAGACGATTTGCACGCCTTTCTCAGAGCCAGAGGACACCAGCGAAGTCTGGGAAGAAGCACAAGACGAAACGTCCGTAGCTTCCGAAGCATCGCTTGTGTCGCTGCACTGGCTGCTGCGGCGACTGTCTACGGCGCTATTACCGCTGCAGCTGTCAGCGCTACTTCGTCGGCTGGCGTGCTCACTCTCCGAGTCAGTTACATTGCTGTAGCAAACTTTGTTACGAAATCCGACAGAGTTTTCTTTACCCTCCGGGTCAATTGAGCGTCCACACGAAGTATAAGAAGTATTATCGAGTGGAAACTTTTCTCCTTCGCGCTCGTCGAAATTATAAACATCCGAGTCTGGTTTTTCTTGCTTTAACTTCATTTTCAACTCACCTTCTTTGACAGTTTCGCTCTTCCATTTGCCCGACGAAGGTGAAAATTTTGGCAAAGAAACCAACGCATTTGTTCTTACATCACGGTCGATTGTCCACTCAGAACTTGTACTTCCTTTGGTAGGCGCAGTAGTAATGCAGGAGGGTGTCTCAGAAGCGTTGGAGTTCTGGTCCTTGAGATTTGGGCTCAGAAGTTTCATTTTGATTACGATACGTTCGGTCGAAGAAGCACATTCTTGAGTGCTCCTCTTTGATGGACTGACTTTGATGGACTGAACCGACTCTCTTGGAGTCGGATTCCCGCTCCTGCAGATACGGACGTCTCTTAATCGTTCTTCTCGTCGTTTCGAAAAATCTTCATACGTGTCGGATGAAGACTTCCGTGGAGAAAACTTTGAATTAGCGGAGCTGTTGAACAGCTGTGAGCTTTTTTCTACCAGGAGACCGCCTCTAGTTGTTACCAACCGACGCATACCACTAGAAGATGTCAACCTTTTTCCGCTGTCCAGAAAGTTCCGTATCATGCGACTTCTAGGACTCTTGATGGGGGATTTGAGCTTGGCAGCTCCACCAACAGTGCCCAATCTCAGCATGCGTAAGCGTGTACGAGGCCTTGAATTTTCAACACCTCGTAATGGTGAAGTTTTACTATCAACACTTAATTTATATGGAAGTGTTTTATTACTGGCTTTTTTATCTATTTGGGTAAATTTTGCCCATCTTTTAGAGTCTTTTGACACTTCTTCAGGTATAGATTCATCATCTCGTGACTCTCCGCAAAATGCACTAGATATTTCCGGAGCATCAGCAACGGACTCGAGTGTACGGCCAGGAACGCACTTGTTTTTGTTTTCAACTTCATCGTTTTCTTCAAGAGCAGTGGAAGCAGTTGAGGAAGTTAACTTCCGTAAGTCAGGGATGACAGCATGGAGGCGATCGACCGGATTGGAAATAAGAAGATCTCCTTCAACCCCGGCTGCTTCTTCGATTTTTGTTAGATTGACTTGAGCGTGCCCCACGCGATTCTCGTCGGATTGAGGGTCACAAAGGTCCAAATCACTAGCATCTTTGTGGGCCAATTCACCAGTACAAACAGAATCTAAATCTTGAAATGGAAATTTTTTATTACGATTCACACTCGTGGAATTTAAATCAGGCTCGTCGGTAACGGGATACTGAGTCAAAGAGGGTATTACAGCATTGTTCATGTCGGAGGAGTCGATCAAATCAGAATCATTTCCAACAGTCTTCGGTGTATTCGAGTCTGAACCAACTATAGGATAGGTACCAGAGTTCACATCAGACGTAAACTTGGAAGCTTCAAACTGAGATTTTTCAGCAGAAGACGCAATGTCTTCAACAGAATGATGTTCATCTCTGAGCTTAGTTTCATCATCAGTGGGAATATTTTCTGTTTGGGTAGAGTTATGGCCACTTTCTGTAGAAGAAGCCATGTAATAATTTTCTTTTCTCACCGCAACATGAAAATTCTCGTAATGCTCTTGTTCATTTTGGCATTCATTAAATACGAGATTACCACTCGCTACAGCAGTAGAAGATGAATCAGATTCAAGCCGTTCACCTGAATTTTCTCGCAAAGAAGTCTCATTTCCGCCAACGTTTGTGTTTTCAGAGTTATTACATGATGGAACATTACTCAAAGCTGAATTACTGGCGTTTGGGAGCAAAGTATCGGAACATGCTCTATTCCAAGACTGACCATCCTGAACCGTCATCTCTGAAACCTCTGGATCTGTATGAATGAAGGATGCATCATTTTCATCTGTAACAGCAGGAGTTATTAGTGACATCTTACTATCATCGAGGTTAGCCACAATTGAATCGCTATCAGACAATTTCGAAGTCAAAGTGCAGTTCGATTTGCTTGCGTCCAAATATAAATCGCGGACAGGATTAACATCAGCCACAGAATTGTCAGTATTACTGTCAACTTTCTTTTTGTCGCTTGCCAAAGAAATAATTTCCTCAATCAAAGGCACTTTAGATTCATCATGTTTGTTCGATTTCTCGGAATTTTCAAAACTTGGTGACTGATTAAGATCCTTGAATTTAGAATCAACTGAAATGTTTTCGTCAATACTTTTCAGAGATACCAGGTCATCTACATGTTCACTAGATTTACCAGGAGACAACATTTGACAATTAAGTGTTTGTGAATTGCTTTCACTTTTACTCTTTTCAGAAGCGTAGGCAGTAGATTCATCAACACTGAGAACTGATTCACTTATATTTAAAACACCACATGACCGGTCTTCAACTTCAGCTCCAACAGAAGCCGGTAATTTTTCTACGTTCAAATCCTTTCGATGAGAAAGCGATTCTAAAGCATCGAATGCAACGGTAGCTAGAACTTCTTTTTCTAGGCGCATATATGCGATATCTGACGTTGATTCTGAAGCAGCATGTGCTATAGGTAGATTTGCTTCATCAGAAGTAGATTGTTTGCAGTCTAATTCTGATGAACTGAGCTCACAAGAACGCGGGTTCGACATTTTCTTTTCGGGAGTTTTCAAGCAAGCAGCAGCACCTTTTTTGCTCATTTCACTCTTGGTTTTGGAGACACAAAGTTCTTCAGATATTGAGGTAGACCCCGGAACCGCATTTACTTCTTCCAAAAGAAAAAGATCTGAAGAGTCCTCTGCAATCGGATTTTCAACAGGATCGTTTTCAACGATTTTCAATTCTGATTCAGCCTCAGCCGGACTTTCGGGTTCAGTTTTGATGACCTGCACCTGCAGTTCAGCTGAGCCGCTATCATCAAGATGCGAAGAGCTAACTGGACTCGCTGTGGCTGGTGCAAGTTGTGTTTCAAGAGTATTTTGAGAGCACGTGGAAGTGATTGGATTGACTTCCGGAGCAGGTTCGTTAATGTTAAAGTTTGGCGTTTCGTGTAATATGGCATCATACGACCTAATTGTTTCCTTTGTCAAAGATTTCTGCATTGATTCTAACGCATCAAGTTGAAGAAGCAGATCAAACGGTTCAGCTGCCTCTATTTTATCGCCAGCATAAGTTGCTTCAACTCGGGAACTCAAATCACTTTGAAAACCAGGAGATGAAGACTTAGACAAGATTTGCAGCTCAGGTACGACGATAGATGTGGCGAATGAATTTGGCACGACGTTACAAAGAGAAGTAAGAGGAACACAAGTAGAATTTGACGTTGATGAAACTAAGGTCATGGAGACACTATCACTTAATGAAATAATATTACTGATTGAATTTGCCGTAGAAAGAACTCTGTCTTCACCAACAGGCAATTTTCTGGAATTTATCTTTTTCAATGCGGGAGCAATCGCTGCACTCTTTTTTGTTCCACGCCGACGCGCAGGGCTGGAAGTTTTTATTTCAGTTTGAACAGGCCCTATTCGAGGAGCAATAGAAATATGACCACTAGTAGAGCTGTTGACCGCAGTATTCATTGGCTGGGTTGTAGTGATGACAACTGCTGTCCCTGTGGAGAACTGCTGTACAACTGGCATCGAAACAGATGAACTAGGTGCGTTGCTACCTGGTAGCATAGCACTTGCATTGACAGATCCATGAATTACCGCTCTAGAAAGCGAAGTGGTTGTGTTATTGCCCTGTATTATTAGTGCATTTGCACCTGGTACAATAGTACTGCCAGAGGCAGTGCCCTGCACAACTGCACTGCCTGCACCAGCTCCATGCAAAGAAGGGTTAACGATAGACGACGGCAGTGAAGTTATGGCTTGCTGAGGCATGGCTTGTAGGACAGATGCAAGGCAACCGTTTGACCCAACGCTTGAGACAGAACTAGGGTTGATACCTAATGATGGCTGACTAACGGCTTGTAAGGAAATAGTAGGTTGAAGAGCTATTGTTTGACCGGCAATGGTTTGCTGGTTAACGTCAGGAACCGTAGCTTGGAAAGGAGTTATGTATGCATGAGTAGAAGATTGATAAGTTGAATTAGGGTAGCCAGAAGTTGAGTAAGCTGCATATGCAGTTGGAGGATACAGGGAAGAATGGTAGGCATTCTGCGTTTGAGATGGATAGGACTGTTGAGGGAACAGAATCTGCTGTGGTTGAGCAGTCATAAGTTGAGTTGGTTGAGCAAGATAGTGGGTCTGTAAAGTAGGTTGTGAGAAGCTCTGTGAAGGTAGCAAGTATGAATGGGTTTGAGCAGCCTGTGAGTAAGGAGACACTGTGGACTGCGATGGCAGGAGAAATAATGAAGTTCCGGAAGTCCCAAAGCTATTGTAGCCAAGTGCTGCCTGAGACCCTGTATTGAGAGACAAATAAGCAGCTGCAGCTTGTTGATTGTTAGTAGGAGTGGTCATGAGGGATGGATTATAGATAAGGCCTCCTTGTAGAGCAGCGTGGGGATAAACATTAGGAGTGAATGCAGTTGGAGGAGGAGCTGAGTATGCAGTACGAGGATAAATGGTCATCTGTTGTGTTTGTTGAATCCCTTGTTGAGACATAACTTGATCCTGCTGTTGCTGAGACTGGATATGTAAATGTTGAGATTGTATCTGTTGATGCTGAGATTCTATTGATTGATGATGAGATTGTACAGCCTGATAATGAGATTGTATCTGAACCTGTTGCAAATCCTGCTGCAGCAGATGGCTTGACTGTAAAATTTGCGCTTGATGTTGGTATTGAGGGTGCTGTTGCAAGAGCTGCTGCTGCTGCGATTGATTTTGTGTCTGTAAACTGAGTTGCATTTGTTGCACAGCCTGTGGCTGATTGTGTTGTTGCATAGGCTGAATATTCTTTGTCTGGGATTGTTGTTGCATCTGTAAACTGCGTTGCAGATGTTGCTCAGCCTGCAATTCCTTCTGTTGCTGCATGGGATGAATACTTTGATGATGTAATTTTGGAGACTGAGTGTGGCGATCTCGCATAGCATGCACCTGCTGCTCTTGAGATTGTTGAGGTGGAAGAGGTTTTGTGCAGTGCAAACTCCCATTTTGCTTTGATGGCTGCTCTTCCAACACTGGTTCTGGCAGTGTAGGCTGGTTTTGTGATAGTATCTGTTGTTCTTGGACTGAATTCACTTTCAAATTTCCACAAGCATTCTGTGCTGAAGAAGGCAACTGTGATGAATTAAGCTTCTGACCATCTTGATGCATTATGACATTTAGCAGCTCCTTTTGTTTGTCATCCTTAGAAGACTCTGGACCAATCAAAGCTGTTGGCTGGACAAAGGGCAATAATCCTTGTACACTATTGGCAGTTACATTGTCTTTATCTGCAATTGGCCTAATCTGGTGCATAATTTCTGGCTGCCTTCCTTCATCCTGGTGCAGTGAACTGTATAACATGGCTCCATCAGACTTAGAATGTTGATTCCATTTACTGGTGCTGGTTTCATTGCTTTTTGATGTTGGTGAAGATTGAGAAATTAATTTTGACTCAGCACTGTCAGGACTTGCAGCTGCTGGAGAGCAATGACCTTCAATTTTTTTAGAGAAAACTGGATCATACCCTGACTGTCCTTTCTTTTCTTGGCAGTGGGCCAACTCATTCTCAGTATTGTAAAGGATATTTTCTGAAAGAGGAACTGTAGAACTCCTTTCCTTATCAGGCTCATAGACATTGTAGCTTGGAGCAATTGAGCCATTCTGAGGCCCACCACCAAGCAATGAGGTTTTATGAGGAGTTGATGAAGGAGCAGCAGGGTGAACAAAGCTGCTTGAAGCATTGAAGGAGTTGCCAGCTAGATGGAAAAAGTTGGAGTTGGAATTGGTTGGAAGAACTGGATACTGTGCAGAATACTCAGTAGTCTCAGGAGTTGGTAAAGTAGCTCGACGACGAGCCACCAATGACCGCAATCGCAGGCCAGGCATTCTGAAAAAAAAATTTATTAACACTAGATTGTACAAGAATTTTGGGACAATTTTTATAAATGCTCTTTTTGGACAAAACATTTCAATAATAAATACAAGCTAACCCCTAGTCCTTAAGTTTGTAGCCAAAAAAAAAAATTCAACTCAGTACTCACTGCAGTGAGTGACAGAGAGTGCATTTTCTTGTCAACAAAAATGTGTCAAGGACACGTAACTGACATAAGCCTTAAGCTACAATACAATAAATTATTCAAAATAATGAGTTAACACATTGATTTGTTGACTTCAATTGACCACTTCCTTAACATGTGGCTAGAAATTTCTCTTTTATGCCATTATAAAAAAAAAACACAAATTTAGGATTGTATTGATTCCATATTGAGCCTATCCTTACTCCTTACTACTATTAAATTGATTAGTAAAATCTAATTTGAAATAAAGTGAAATAAAAGAATATGACTTATTATTATATGACTTATTAGTTGAAATAAAAGAATATGACTTATATATATATATAATCTACCACAACATCCTAGAAGAATATAGGTATCCAGTAGTGCACTTCATAGCCACTAGAGTCTAAGAGTATCTATCTGTGTAATCTTGAATTGAATAAAATTTTTCAACATATATCAGTAATTTTTTTCAGCAATACATAATTTTACTCAATCAAGCTAAAAGCCAGAATAAACCAGCAGGTCTGATTAAACTTTCTATAATTTTATTAACTCACCTGGGACCTATTTTGCAGAAGTAAGTATCATTTTAAACCCATGTTTGTAGTTTTCAGCTGCTATTAAAAATAATATCTAATGAATATTTCACCTATAACTACCATAGCTCAAAAGATGAACTCCACAATTAAAAGAAATACTTAAATTATCAGAGAATATTATCATCATCACACTGGATGATATAGGTAACTCTGGTTTCTACATAAGATAAAAAAATTATAGGCTTAGGTAAGTTACTTAATAAGGTTATTTAACCAGCAAAAATAGATTGGCATACAAACTAGATCTATATTCCATAATGGCACTTAATCAGGGAAATGAATCAATTTTCCTCATTATGTCATCTTGTCAATGTCCAGGGTGCAGAAGGTGGAAGCAGCGTCGCCAACATATGGGTTTTTAAGCCCAAAGCGTCGCCGACCATTTTCAAAATGCGTTGCCAGGTAATTTTTACTGAAGAGCCATTTATGCTGAGTAATGAAAAATTATTTGCAAGCCACGAACTTATTTACAAGGTTGCATGCACGTGTTATCCCAAATAAATAATTTTACCCTAAAAACAGCCCGATTGTACAGCAAGTGTCAACTGAACTGTGAACATGTGAAGATGCAGTCTGATCGCTCTAATGTGACCGCAACTACATTTTGTTTACATTTTTTTTGGCAGGAACTCATCGCAACCGATTTCCGGACAAGCTTTACTGCATCTTGATCCATCCAATGTACCGGAAACCTTACTTTTTTTCTAAATAGTTGGGCGAAGACTGACAAATATATTAAATGCAAGAATTACAATCTAAATGTGTCGGCAAGATCTTCTGAAGCTGTAAATTTTGCTACTAAATCATTGCCAAAGATCTTGCAATATTCATCCACTCTCTGCACAGTGGGTCAATGATCCACTGTGCAGAGAGTGAACGAAGATTTAAAGACCTACGGCGACGCATTATCGGCAAAATTTTCGCCTTCAGAAGATCTTGCTGACACATTTAGATTGAAATTCTTGCATTTAATATATTTCTCAGTCTTCAGCCAACTATTTAAAATTACCTGGCGACGCATCTTTAAAATGGCCGGCGACGCTTTGGGCTTAAAAATCCATATATTGCCGACGCTGCATCCACCCTCTGCATAGTGGGTCAATGTCATGTGCTAAACCTTATTTATAAAATGCAAAAACAGGGAAGGTTGTCATTCAAGCCAACTTTTTACTATTCAAGTAGTATAAATAATATGAAAAAGCCAACATCAGATTTTTTGCATATAAAAAGATTACCTCACGTCTTAAGTACAAGTTTGGAATATTATTCGATATAGGCCTATCTAACAAAGGTCGCTATCAAATTGACCTGTAACTAGCTACCATCAATGCCACATAAGTCGCCACTTTCGGAAAACGCAATAGAATATATTGGATTTTGAAACACCGATCAGCTAAAAATTAAATGTAACACTTGTACAGGGTTGACTAATGTTTATACTTTCGAGAAAAAAAGTCACGAGGTTTTTTTATTGCTCGATCATATAATAAAATGGAAGTTTTTGAGGCCTGTCGGGAGTGGCGAGGTATATAGTACCTGCTTTAAAGTCGCCAGCGATACTGACGAAGGGTACACTAAAGTCGCCATAGCCTGGCGAGGTTATTGCAGTCTTTTCGTGAATAGCGCCTGCGTGAGGTACAGTAGAGAAAGCCTCAAATTTAGGCGAAACCAACCCTTGAACTTCGGTCTTTGTTTAAAAAATTAATAAATAAATGCTTTAAATATTGTTTTTGTACGAAAATAAATGTAACCTCAATGAATAAATTTTTTTCCTGGCTATAATAAGTAAGAGGATTCGAACTAATCTTAAATTCGTAAAAAGAAACTCGTTTCACTGCATCGAATATCGATGTTGGGAGGCCTGTTCATTCGCGCATTTATCCGCCTCGATTCCAATTCATCGAAAAAACGCACTTCAATGATAGGCGGTTCCGTTTAAAAAATTCGTCTGTTACATAGTAGTGTGGCACACTAGTCAGTAATCTGAACAGAATTCACGAATTTCCTTGTATGCAGCGTGAAGAATTTCCTCGAACCTAAAAATATAATTCCCGACCCTATTTCTAACTCAACGGCCAAAACAGCACACTGCACCACACATAAAAGAACTCGACCGCTGAAATGCTGGTGTACGTTGAGTCCTCCGTCAGACACTGTAAATATTGTAAGAAATAAATAACAGCCGTGAAATTACGTCGCAAACTTGTGAGAAGTTTGCGACGGGGTGGCCCAGTGGAGTTCAGAGTACCATGATTGACGCAGAGAAGCGCGGGTTCGATCCCATGTCTGTGCGACAGTTTCTGATCAGAATCGGCAAGGAGGCCGGACAGTTAAGCAAAGCAAAATTGAAGCAGTGAGTGGCTAGTTCGAGACTGCAAAATGCTGTGAATGTTCTGCGATGTAAATAATCGGCGACAGGCCTACGGCCCACTAAACGCTGAAACCGCTATTATTATTTTATATTATTATAAAGAGAATGACATTACTGTATACCGTCGACTTCATCAGAACAGCATTGTAGCCGGGTGGTTATTTCAGTATTTTTCATCGCAAACCAAATCTGTTATTCATTTGTTCACTCAATGTATATGTTCTAATTCGATACCAAATATTTCTCTTTATTATTTTCAGGCACGGGAAAAATTCCAATAATTATATTATTCATGCATGTGCTTGATCAGTGACATTGTAAAGTTCTAATAGAAGCAGGCAGATTGATGTCCAATGCTCTGACGACTGCAATTGCCTTGGTGAGTGCTTGTTAGAATCCATATTGTATAAAGCTTTTAAAACCAGGTATGTTAGTGTTCATTCAGCTTGATAATTGATTTACTTTATTCATGCTTATGTTTATACTCTGCACATACATTTATCCACTTTCTTGCAATGCTTGCTTTTAATCTAAAGAATGTTAATTGCACAATAATGAGTTGTTAACATGATTTTACTTCAATTGCTTTGCTATTTCAATCTTCTAAATTCAATGCTTGCTATTTTATTATGAGAATACCAAACTGTTTTCAATTGACGTATGTGTTTCACCCAATAAGTTGCAGTTATTACCACAGTTGCAATAGTGTCCGTTTACCTTGGTTCGCTTTAATCTCTTGTGTGTTCTCTTGCATTACTCATGCGTGCTCATATTATCAATTTATTCAAACTAAGTTGAACTACCGCTTGCTGCTTGATTGTTATGTCAATGCTAAGGGTTTTTGGTTTTGATAACTGCTGTGAGTGAGGTTCTTTTATTTGATTTTACTTTTATTGATTATATGTTTTATCTCTTGCAGCTGAAATACCTCACTCATGCTCCCAATGTCTGGTTACATTTCATTCCATTCGCAACTGCATCTGTAATCACTGNTTCGAAGGGAAAACATTTTCGCGGAAATAAAGTATCGCCCAAACGCAGTTCATCAAGCAGAATGAAAAAATTCGTTTCGCTCAACGAATTTTCGTCATGTTGATTTGAAATCTCAAAACTAATAACAAATCAATTGTCGAAAATGCATTCTACTATCTTTAGGCAATATTAATAAATGTTCTAGTATTTTCCTATGATAACGAAATGTTCGTATTGGGTCGATTTTAATAAATATTTCCTTTTCCCTGCAGCGTGCGCGTGGCGACTTTAGTGAGGTGGCGACTTTAGTGGCATTGACGGTAGAGCTTTCCTACCAATCTACCATTCTCGGAAATGGAGCCTCAAGACTTCTGCTAGATGATTACCTCCTATGTAACTATTAACTAAACATAAATACGACTGTCCCCGTGCACCAGCAGAC